TTTGTAGTTGTAGATGGACAGCATGCCTTTATTTTATTTGTTTATTGATATGTGGTGTTGAGGATCGAACCCAGTGCCTCACACATGCTAGGAAAGCGCTCTACCACTGAGCTACAGCCCCGGCCGGCCGGCTAACTCCAGTTTCTGTCAGTATTGAATTGAATTGTAGAACTCCCAGTAGGTGTCCCGAGAATTGAAGAGTTGGTTGGTGTGCGGGGAGAACCCTTATACTTGGTGGAAGAAGTATCATGAATAAACACAGATCAACTACCAATGAACACTCTGAAAAGGAAATTAAGAAAACAATTCCAGGTATAATAGCATCAAAAAGAACAAAATACTTTGGAAAAATTTAACAAGAAACTACACATTTTAAAAGATGTAATTTTTTTGTTTTAGTTTTCGGTGGACACAACATCTTTATTTTATGTGTATGTGGTGCTGAGGATCGAACCCAGTGCCCCGCGCATGCCAGGCGAGCGCGCGCTACCACTTGAGCCACATCCCCAGCCCCTTGAAAGATATAATTAAATGGAGACCAACCTTACACATGACTGGGTCACATTCCCTGGCTGGGTGCTGAGGCGCTCAGTCACAGAAATGTGGTCGGTGTCTCATGCATGGGTGTGTCTTGCTATAGCCCCATGGGTGAAGCTATGCTCACCTGTTCCTTTGTAATATAACCCCTTGCCCTGTCTAGGATAGAATCTTCCATGGAAGTGCCTTGTGTGTGTCCCCTTCTCTTACTGTGCCCTTGGGTGTGGCCTGCCCAGGTGTCAGTCAACCTGCTGACAGTGGACATCATGAAGCTAGACTCAGCCCCCTGAAACCTGACCCCTTGCCTCATTTGAATAGCTTCTCCTCAATAAAAGGGGTCAGCACATGTGTGCTCTCTCTCTCTCTCTCTCTCTGGACCCTTAAGGCCAGAGGAGCCGTCACAGTGACCCCAAAGAAAAAAGTATTTGTGTCTCTTGTGTGGTTATTTCGTGCAGCCCAGTCAGTTTAACTGGAGTAACCCCTGAGCCTTTTAGTCACGTGCAAGGTACCCTGAAAAGCCAAAACAATCTTGAAAGAGAAGAATAAAGTTAGTTGACATGCTTCACAATTTCAAAACCCACTATAAAACTAAACAAGATTATGCCCTAGGGCCAAAGAGTAGATGTAGATATACATGTCAATGAATTAGAACTCAGAGTCCAAAAATAAACCCATACATTCACGGACAAGTGACAGTGCCAAACAATTCAGTGGAAAAAGAAATCTCAGCAAATGGTCTGAAACCATCCACCACCGTGGTGCACGCCTGTGATCCAGCTGCTCTGGAGGCTGAGGCAGGAGGGTCACAAGTTCAAAGCCAGCCTTAGCAAGATTCAGCAGGACCTTGCCTCAAATAAAAAACAAAAAAGTTTGGGCTGTAGCTCAGTGGTAAAGTGCCCCTGGGTTCACTCCCCAAGACCAAAAACAAACAAACAAAAACAAATGGTGGGGCTGGGGTTGGGACTCAGTGGTAGAGTGCTCGCCTGGCATGTGTGAGGCCCTGGGTTGGATCTTCAGCATCACATATAAATAAATAAAGTAAAAGATCCATTGACAACTAAAATATATTAAAACAAAAACAAATGGTGGGGCTGGGGTTGGGGCTCAGTGGTACAGCACTTGCCTAGCATGTGGGAGGCCCTGGGTTTGATTCTCAGCACCACACAAACAAAATAAATAAATAAAATAAAGTTATAAAAAAATAGTGCTAGAAAAACTGGATAGTCAAATACAAACGAAGGAAATTGGGTTGAACGGGTGGCACATGCTTGCCTTGGGCTTGCAATCCTCCTGCCTCAGCCTCCAGAACTGCTGAGCGGAGGAGGTGTTTTGTGGTACTGGGGATTGAACCCAGGGCCTTGCACATGCCAGGCAAGCACTCTACCACAGAGGTACATCCTCACCAAGAGCTAGGATTACAGGTATGTGGCAAAGCAATAGTTTTGGATAGTTTCTTGGATATGGCACAAGATACACAAACAGCCTGCCTGTAATCCCAGATACTTGGGAGGCTGACGCAAGAGGCTCACAAGTTGAGGCCAGCCTGGGCCACTTAGTAAGACCCTGTCTCAGAAAAGAGTACAAGATGGGGTTAGGGTTGTGGCTCAGTGGTAGAGTGCTCGCCTAGCATGCACAAGGCACTGGGTTCAATCCTCAGCACCACATAAATGTAAAATAAACATATTGTGTCCACCTAATGCTTAAGAATAAATATTAAAAAAAAAAAGAGTACAAGAAGTAGGGTCTAGGGGAGGCCTCTAGGTTACTGACAGCATACCCTTGAAGGGACTTATGGGACCTGGGCCTCTCTTTGTTCTCGTTTGTCCCTGCCTCACAATGTAGGTAAGTCTACTCCAGCACACGCTCTCAGAATGATGTGCTGCCAACTGATCCTGAACTGCAACTTCCAAAATTATGAGCCAAAATAAACCTTTTCTCTTTATAAACTAATTGTCTCAGGTAATTGTTATAGTTACAGAAGGCGGACTAACACACTTAATGATCTTACTCTGAAAATCTTACATTCCTAAAAATGTGAAAACATATATCAACACATAAACTCATATGCAAATGTCTGTAACAGCATTTCTCATGACAGGTAAGAAGAGGAAACCAACCAAGTGTCCATTAACTGATGAATGCATTAAAAGATGGATTTCTGGCTCCGTCCAGTGGTACACACCTGTAGGCTGGGGCATGGAACACTTGAACTCAGGAGTTCAAAGCCAGACTGGGCAGGTATTTGTACACCCATGTTCATAGCAGCATTATTCATCCATTTACTCTGTGTGTGTGTGTGTGTGTGTAAATGTGTGGTGTCTTGTTGGTTATTTGGAATCCAACCCAGAGCCTCCCACATGCTAAGCAGGTGCCCTACCACTGAGCTACACTCCCCCCAATTGTAACAGCATAATTTAGTATAGCCACAAGGTAAATATCCATCAGCAGAATGAATACAAAAGCAAAATATGGCATAAAACATGATAGAATTTCATACAACTCGACCTTAAAAAGGAAGGAAATTCTGACATATATTGAACTTGGATGAATCTTGAGGACATTATGCTAAGAAAAATAAGCCAAAATAAATAAACAAATAAGCCAGTCAAAAAGGGACAAATACTATCTGATTCCACTCATATGAGGTTTTGAGAGTCATCAGATTCATAGAAGCAAAGCTGAATGGCGTTACCAAAGCTGGGAGAAGAGGGGACCTGCAGTTAGTGTCTAATGGGCACAGAGTCCCAGCTGGTGGCTGCACTACAAAGAAACCTACTTAACAGCACAAAACTCCACACTTGAAAAGGGCCAATGGCAAGTTTTATGTTATTTTACCACAAACATGCAAACAAAACAACCAGGGAGAGGAATAAGCAACACAAGATCTTGACGGATCCTTGGTTGGAACAAATTTCTATAAATGACAAATGGAGATAATTAGCACAACTGGAATATGGATTGTAAATTCGGTAATTGAATCAATGATTTTTTTTTTTAATTTTTGCAACTGTACTAGGACATGTAAGACAATACTCTTTTTTGGATGATGCTGAAAATTTAGGGGTAAAAGGGCATGATGTATACTGTTTATTTTCAAATGGTTGAGATGGAGATAAATATGTTTAATATATATATGGAGAGAGAGAAAAGAAAAGCCAAAGGAGAACCTAGATGAAGGTATACAGGAGTACTTTGTACAATTCTTGTAACTTTATTGTAAGCCTGAACTTACTTAAAAAAAAATAAAGTTTTTTTTTTTTTTTAATTTAATATGTCTAAATGAAAATCACTCCCAAAACCTGCTCCACCCACAAGTGTCCCACCCGCATCTCAGGAAATAACAGCTCTATCTTTCCGGTTGCTCAGACCCAAAACCTTGGAGTCAACCTTGATTTTCCCCTTCACCCCACCCCCGTGCACCGCAGCCCTATTGGCTGCACCAACAGAAACACGCCCGGGAGCCCACCCTTCTCCACCCGCACTGCTCGCCTCCCGTCGGAACCGAACCGTCGGGGCTGGGCGGCCTCCCTACTCTCCCTGCTTCGTCCAGGACCCCCTCGTCTATCCAAGGCAGGCTGCAGGGGGACCGGGTGCAGACACAAGCAGGTCGCCCTCCCTTCTGCTCAGATCCGCTGAACAGTTCCTCCTGCTTCTCAGACCCCGTCCTGCCGCTCCCTGGCCCGGAGCCCAGGGAGCTCCACTCGGGGCTCACTCCACCACTGCCGCCTGCTCAGAAGTCACTTCCCGGACCACACACCCCAGTCACTCTGCCCTCGTCTGCTTTTTTCTCCATCCAGGCTCCTCGTCCTCAGTCCTAGACGCTCGGAGTTAAGCGCTCGTGGCATCGCCCTCCACAAACACAGCGCGTCCTGGGGGGCGGCCGTGGCGCACCGCTGCGTCCCCAGCACCTTGCCAGGCGGATAGCAGGTGCCCCTTACGGCTTACAGAGTAAGTAACTGGGTGCTGGAAAGTTCCCCAGGAGGCTGTGTTGGCCCCTGGCCTGAGGATGATTGGTCCTTTGCGACATGCAAGTTGTCCAGCTCAGCCTCCGACTGGAAAAGGCCATACTTGGCCTGCTGGGAGCCAGTCCTCCCACGGGGCTCGCGCTGGACAGCAGGGCCTTCGGGGAAAAAAATGCGGGGAGGAGTCTGAGCGCGGGGACCCCCGGAGGCTCTGCCTCCTCGCCCCCATCACCTGCCCTCCCTGTACCCAAGAAGGGCCTTGTCGCCTTTGGAGACAGGAGCGGCAATGAAGGGGGTGGTCACCCGACTGCCCCCCTTCCCCGCCTGCACGTGAAGGCCAAATAAGGCCGGGGGGCTGCGCGGCCCCTCCGCACGGGCCCCGCCCGGCCCAGCACGCACATTCTTCTGCCTTGTAAGGCGCGGCCGCCTCGCCGCCTGGCCCCGCCCCGGCCCCGCCCCTGGGCGCAGGCCCCGCCCCCGCCCCGGCCGGAGCGGGAGCCCCAACCCCGGCCAGAGCCAGAGCCCCCGGCAGAGCGCATCGCCGCCAGCCGCGCCTCTCCGCGCCCCAGCGCCTCTCGGCACCAGGTGGGAGCCCGCCCCGGCCAGCGCAGGGTGTCTACAGTAGGTGGTCGGACTGGCCGGCGACGCGGCCGTCACCGGCTCTGCGCAGGACCCAGGGACAGGGAAGGCAAGGGTCTGCTGGGCGTGGACAGTGGTGCGGGCTGGGCTGCGAGTTCGCTCGCTCCCACGGGGGTCCGAGCCTGGGGCTGGGCGGCAGCGGGACTGTCCCCGGATCTGGGAAACAGTGGTCCTTTGGCGAGGGAACAAGTTGTCCCGCTCTGCCTCTCCACGCCCAGAACTCGGGGGTCCCAGAGGGGTGTTGAGGTGGCCGGCACTCCCTGACTCAAGAAGCCATGTGCCTCTGGGATACTGAGCCCTGCCAGCCTCCATGCCCTTCCAGAGCATCCATGTCCCCTCTCCTATCCCATTTCCACACCCTGGGGCAGGAGAGAGGGATGGTGACCAGGAGCGTGTGTCTGTCTGTCTGTCTTTCTCACACACACTCACACCAAGTGTTGTGTGTTTTGACCCTGGAGCTTCCCCCCTCTGGGCCATCTTCTCAGCCTCCAGCTCTGGCAGCTCTGAGGGAAGTCAAGTAATTCATCCTCAGATGAGGGGAGCCCTTAGCAGGGCCTCTGGCATCGCCCAGTCACAGCAAGGGGACACAGGCCTGATCTGGCTTCTACCCAGGTCTTTGCTGTTATGGTAGAATTTCAGACACTATAGGAGAAAGGTGACATCTGGTTACAGCCAGGCCAAGTACCCACTGTCTGGTCTTTGGTGTCTGGGACCTTGGGGAGGAGGAAGGGTTGGCTCCAGGGCCCAAGGCCCCTGGCTTGTGTCTGACCCTGGTCTCTCAACCTGCTTGTGGCGACAGGCCTTGGCCCCTTGGGGGGAGCTCTTTGTCAAGGCCTCAAGGACCTCGGGGCACAGTTTGCTGCCCCCCAACCCAAGCCTGCCAGGGTCTTGGTCTCCACTGGCCCTCACCCCTTAGGGGCACACATTCGCCTTCTCCTGCCTGTTGCCTGAACCGCACACCTGGAGCCGCTACCCCTTCCTCCCAAGGTCACGCCAGTGGACAGAGGGGCCTGGTGCCCTCACCACATCCTGGCTGCACACCTTATTTGGCCTTCACATGCTGGGGACCAGTGGCCTCAAAGGCACAGAGCCCTGGTGGGCTCAGAGAGAGCACGGGTGAGCCTGGGCACACCTGCCCTAGAGCTCTGCAGGCAGATGGTGACAGTGATGACCACCTCAGCCTTGGAGGGCAGAGTGGACTTCTGTGGCAGCCTTTGTTGCTCACCATGAGTCCAGGTTCCCAGAGAACAATGGGCTTGGGAAGAATTGGGCCCTCTAAGCCACAGAGAGGAGGGGGCGGGTTTCTGGGGACAATGGCACTCCCTACCCTCAGCACTTTTCCCACTCCCACTCAGGTGGGCTACAGACAGCCAGTCTCAAGACTTCAGGCAACTATGGCCCCAAGGACATACTGGACTGGCCAAACCCCAGCTCGGGCATAAGCTTCCATAGGCCCAGGGCCAGCTGGACATGGTGGTGTGCATCTGTAGTTCCAGCTACTCAGGAGGCTGAGGCAGGAGGATCACAAGTTTAAGGCCAGCCTCAGCAACTTAGCGAGACCCCCATTTAAAATTTAAAAAAAAAAAAAATAAGAACTGGGGATGGGGCTCGGTGGTAAAGCCCTCCTGGGTTCAGTCCAGTACAAGGAAGGAAGGAAGCAAAAGGTCAAGGTCTGGGAATGATTTGAAAGGTGTCCTCGTGGGATCTTGGATGAAGAGCAGTAGCACAGGCAGAGGAGACCCTGGACCAGGGCTCGGAACCGGAACCAAGGAGAGAGGAGCAGCCCCCCTCCTGGGCCTCTGCCTGCTGAGGGGAGGAGGACTAGGCCTTCTGGCACATAGTCCCCACAGCTGTGACAAAGACTCAGGGAGGACCATAGTTTCCCATCTGTGCAGCAGACCGCCCTCAGACAGCCATTCACTCACCAAGCATCCCCAGCCCATGGTGGCCGTGGCTGTGCCAGTCGGCTGGCCCCAGGATGAGGGAGAGAGGGCTTCAAGTGTGGATGTCAAACAAGGGTGGGGAGAGCAGCTCCCGGCCCGGCCCTGGCCCAGAAGAAGGGGCCCTGCAGGTGGGCCTGGGAGGAAGCCTGGGGCCTGGGCACAAGATGGAGAAGGGAGGGGTGCAGAGGAGGGAGGGGTGCGGGCTGGGAGAGGCAGGAGGGCTCTCACAGCCTTGAATGCCAGGCTGAAGGACACAGGCTTGCTTAGGAGCTGGGGGCAGCAGGAACCTCCCAGCGCTTCCAAGAGGCCAGTGAATGGGACAAAGATGCTAGGCTGGATCTGCACAATGAGAATAGAAACTGGCCCCTCAGCCTGGGGACCTCAGTCCCCTGAAAGCACAGGGCAGGGCCCAGAACTGGTCTGTCACTCGCCCAGGGGCTGGCAGACTGCCTTGGGAGGACATGCAGTGTGGGGGGTGGACTTCAGAGTTCCCAGAGCCTCCCACAGGCAGCACGCGGGATGGGGAGGGCTGAGGGGGAGGAGGAATGTCAGGCATGCAGCCTGCTGGTCAGGCCCCTCCTGTGGGTCCCAGGGTTCCTGGAAGGAGGCCCAGCAGAACCCCCCTCTGCCTCCCCCATGGAGCCCCATCTTTCCACTTGGAGAGAGAGAGCGGGCAGTGAGTGCTGTCAGGATTAAAGGACATACACGTCTAGTCCTAAATGTTCTACCCGCTCAGAGCAAAAATACCTGACTCTATGCCAGGACCATTTCAGGTGCTTTTCAAGCACTTGGTTAGTTTATCCCCATTCCCAGAGGAGAACGCTCGGGCTTGGAGAGGAAGTTGTTCAAGATCACAGAGCCCAGTTGGGTGCAGTGGTGCACCCCAGTAATCCCAGCAGTTTGGGAGGCTAAGGCAGGAGGATCGAAAGTTCAAGGCCAGCCTCAGTATTTAGTGAGACCCTATCTCAAAATATGAAATAAATAGGGATGGGGATTTTAAAAAGGGCAGGATGGGGATGTGACTGAATGGTTAAGCACCCTTGGGTTCAATCCCCAGTTCCAATAAAGAAAGAAATATGGCTGGGGGTGTGACTCAGTGATTAAGTGTCCCCACCCCTGGGTTCAATCCCTAGTGTCTGCCTTTGTGAAGAACTGGGTGTTGGGAGGCCTGAGCCTGTGGGAGGCTGTGAAGGCCAGGTCTCCAGCCGAGAGCCATCTGGGGGAGACAGGGAGAACCCCTGACCCAGGTATGCCCTGCACCCCCTCCCTGCAGGGAAGCTCCACCCACCTCAAGCCAAGATGTCCAGCAAGCGGGCCAAGGCCAAGACCACCAAGAAGAGGCCACAGCGGGCCACGTCCAATGTTTTCGCAATGTTTGACCAGTCCCAGATCCAAGAGTTTAAGGAGGCCTTCAACATGATCGACCAGAACCGGGACGGCTTCATCGACAAGGAGGACCTGCATGACATGCTGGCCTCCCTAGGTGAGCAGGGACCAGGCCAGCGGGTGGTGCGGGCTCCCAGGGGCTGCAGGGCTGCTCCGCACTTCCTGAGCACTTCCTTTGTCACAAGTCCTGTGGTAGCCGCCCTGGGGGCAGCTGCTTGTGCTTCACACACTCCATGGACAGGGAAACTGAGGCAAAGAGCAGTTCCGGAATGTGTCTGGGGTCCAGCACAGGATTTTCAGGCTGACGGCAGAGTGGGGCCGTCTTGGGCAGATGCATTAATTGGACGCCCAGTGACATCTGATTTAAAGAAGGGGGTTGGGCCAGGCATGGTGGCACATGCCTGTAATCCCAATGACTCAGGAGGCTAAGGCAGGAGGATTGCAAGTTTGAGGCCAACCTCAGCAACTTAGAGACCCTGTCTCAAAAAATAAAAAGAGCTGGGATGTGGCTCAGTGGTAAACCCACCCCTGGGTTCCATCCCAGTACCAGATAACAGTAATAAGAAACAAACAAATCATTTTAAAAACACAAAAGTAAATAAAAATAGAGGACTGGCAGCTGAATGAAAGAGTGAGCTGTGGGCCAGTGTGGGGGCACAAGCCTGCAACCCCAGTGACTTGGGAGGTTGAGGCAGGGGGCAAGTTCAAGGTCCTCCTGTGCAACTTGGTGAGACTGAGTCTCTGAATTAAAGAAGAAGGAAGAGGAGTTTGAACTGCAGGCTCCATTGTAGGGGGAGGCTGAGCTGGCGGGGGACAGGAGCCCCTCCCTCACCTCAGTGACCTCTCCAGTCAGCATCTTGGCACCTGAGGGCCCAGGGCTCACTTCCAACTCACTCTGCTCAGTGAGGAAACCGCGCTCCAGAGGCCAGGCCGCTGCTCCGCATGTGCTGGCCGTGGGCAGCTGCTCTTGGAGCGCTGTCATCCTGGTGAAGGCACCTGGGCCAGAGCCAGGCAGGAAGTCCGGCATCACTGGGCAGCGTGTGGTCAAGCCAAGAGCGTCAAGCCAACAGCCCCCAGGAAGGCCCTAGCGCTGCCCATTCCCTGCCCCTGTAATGGGCACCTGGCCTCCCACACCCTCCTGAGGCAGCTGGTGAGAACAGGCCACCTGAGCGGGGCTCACCTGGACGCTGCCTCCCCTGGCAGTGTGGCAGTGTGGCCCTGGACCGGCTCCTTGCCCGTCTGTGCCCTGGCTCCTGCCTGCCGAGTAGGAGTGACAGGTTCTCTAGTCAGGCCAGGCTCACTTGGAGCCTCCCTCTCCCAGGAGGTCGCCCAGCAGGGCTCTCACCTGGGGCCCTCCAGTTTCATCCAAGGGGGGGACAGAAGCCAGGGGAGTGGTGTGGCCCTAGGTGCTCTACTCGAGTCCTGCAGGTCCTAGCTCTCCCAAGCCTCAGCTTCACAAACCATCCCATAGGGACTCAGCAACCATAGGGACGTCGAAGGCTCCTCCCTATCTGGTAGACATGATTATCATTCCTAAAGGAGGAAACTGAGGCTCAGAGAGGTTAAGTAATTTGTCCAGTGTCACACATCTAAGTGGTAGAGCTGGATGAGCCCATAAGTTCATCCTTACAGGTGTTTTGCAGCCGTTACCTTATTCATCTTCACAGTACTCCTAAGAGACATGGGAAACTAAGGCACAGAGCTGGGGTGCAAATCCAGGCCTGCGTGACACCAAAACTTGCTACTCTGACCACTTTTGAAATTCTGTCTGGAGCTCAAGGTCAGGCTACCTGGGTTCGAATGGTTTGGTGTCATGCTCCCTGTTTACTGGCTGGGTGGCCCTGGACCAGCCTCCTTGCCTGTCTATGGAGTGGGAATGGCAACGCTGTCTTCACGGGGTCACTGGTGCGCAGACACAGGGGAGGGATGCTCCTACCAGACGGGCAGGGTGACTGGTGGTGGCAGCCGGGGACCGTGGCAGCCGGGCCAGGCCTCAAATCAGAAGGCCGCCTGCCACAGCACCGTGCTGTCCATTGCCCAAGCTGGCCACTGGGCCGGGCGGGGAGGGCAGTGCCAGGCGGGCCTGGACGCAGCACTGACGGCCCACCCGCCCGTGCAGGGAAGAACCCCACGGACGAGTACCTGGAGGGCATGATGAGCGAGGCCCCGGGGCCCATCAACTTCACCATGTTCCTCACCATGTTCGGGGAGAAGCTGAACGGCACCGACCCCGAGGACGTGATCCGCAACGCCTTCGCCTGCTTCGATGAGGAGGCCTCAGGTCAGCCCGCGGCCGCCAGGCACCTCCCCTGCCGCTGCCAGAGCAGCCAAAGCCAGGCCCCTCCTGCTCTCTCCCGGGCCACTAACAGGACAGCCCAGGCCCACCAAGACGCCCCACTTCCTCGTCTCACCCCCACCCCCACCCCTACTGTCCCTCTGCTGTAGAGCTTTCCAGAAATCAAGTCAGGCGCCCTTCTTGCCAACAAGGAACAGAAGACAGTCCCAGCCAGCCAGATCCTCTGTCCCGCAGATAGCTGTCCCCAGGAACATGCTGAGTGAAGGTGGCAACAGTGGACTCTCAGTGGCCCCAGGTCTGCCTTGGCCCCAGCATGTTCAGAACATTTTCCCATCTTTATAGTTCTCTTGCCAGGTTGGGATTTTTCAGCCCTGTTTTCCAGATCAAGTAGGCACAGAGAGCTTAGGTACCTTGCCCAAGGTCACACAGCAAAAATTGGAGATTACCATTCCAACTCAGGCTGTGGAACTGCAGAGCTCACTTGTAAAACGGTGTGCCCAACACTCCCTGCACCCACAGCCCCGCGCCCTGCAGACAGGACTAGGGCGGAGCTCTTTCTGGTAGACCCGGCAGCGCTCCTGGGCCCTCCGGCCCAAGTCCCCTGTTCCCTGAGCTGAGCACACTAGGGTGGCACCTTCCTGGCCTCTCTCCGGCCATGAGGTCTGCAAGGACGGTGGGCTGGCGGGTCGGGGTCTGGTGCGTCCAGCCCAGGTCCCTGCCCTCACAGACCCTGGCCCGGCCCCCAGGCTTCATCCATGAGGACCACCTCCGGGAGCTGCTCACCACCATGGGAGACCGCTTCACGGACGAGGAAGTGGACGAGATGTACCGCGAGGCGCCCATCGACAAGAAGGGCAACTTCAACTACGTGGAGTTCACCCGCATCCTCAAGCATGGGGCCAAGGACAAGGACGACTAGGCCCCGGGGGCCCTCGGCCGGCCCTTCCTCCGCCCCACGCACACGCACCACCGGCCGCCCAGGGGTGGGTCCAGCCCCGAGAGACACGGGCCGAGGACCCCTGAAGGACCCCTGAAGGACCGTCGTCCAGGGAGAGGGAAGGCCTCGGGAGTGAGGGCTGCCTGTCCCTAGGCTGCCCGGGGGATGCAGCCCTGGGTCCTGGTGTCAACAGCACTTCATGAGCACCCACACACGCGCGAGCTCGCCACGTCCCCAAGTGGACAGCACCAGACCCCCGCCCCTGCCCGTCCACTCTTCTGGGAATGCTCAGGTCACCTGGACACCCCTGTCCCAGGGAGGCAGAGTCTCCAATAGAAGGCTGAGCACTACTCAGGGTCTGTGACTGTGCTTTTGGTAAAATCGGTGCCCTGGGGCCCCAAACCCTCCTTCTCCTCGCCTCCCCCCACCCCACCCCCACTCCCCGGCTGCCCTGCTCCCCCTCTGACCAGAAATCCCCAACCCTGTGTCCCTGACACCTCAGGGCCAGGACCCCTAAGTAGGGCGGCTATGCGCTGAGCTGAGGCAGACCAGCAGAGGGAGCAGCCTCGGAGCGGGAATAAGGCCAGTGTCCAAGAAGCTCAGGGAGGAGGTGGGGACCGGATCACCTGCCCTGGGTGACCCCACCCTGTCACCCCAAGCAGCCACAGGGTGAGCTCTGGGCTGCACCCTCAGCAGTGGAAAGGAGATGCCACCCCAGGACACCAGCCAGCCAGCCAAAGCCTCCTCACCAGCTGCTGCCTTGGAACACTGGGGACGCTGGGTGGGGACGCTGGGTGGAAATGGGGAGCAGCAGACCCTGCCTGAGCTCCCCAGAGGGTCTGTGTGTGTTCCAGCCGCCCCAGGAGGGTCTGGGGACAGAGGCTGCACCCACATGGCCCTGTGACCTGCTGTAGAGGTCACTGACAGGCAGACGACAGTGCAGGGCAGTATGAGATCAGGGCAAGCGGGTGTGAGCAGCACCCAGAGGCCCTAACTAAGCCTAGGCTCGACCCACTCAAATCCCAGGGGAGCCTCCTCTCCCAGTTCCAAAACAAGCCCGAAAGAGCCTCACCCCCAAACCAAGGCCAAATACAGTCCCAGGCTCAGTCCCAGCCACACCCCACTCTGTGCCCACCCAGGTCCTGGTGGGTCTTTCAGGCAAGGGTGTGCACTGTGACCCCCATGAAAGGGTCACAGGACATCTGGGCAGGATCACTGCAGACCAAAAGCCTTCCTGAAGGAAGGTGGGGACTCATCAGGAATGTCCCTGGGATCCTAAGCCTCAGTTGAGGACCTGCAATTAGCCCCCACTCACTACCCCAGGAACGCGCACAGGGGCTCAGCCCAGCCTCACGGGTCTCAGAGCCGGCCTGGGGCTGGCAGGACCCAGAGAAAGTGTTCTGTAGAGAACAGGCAGGACCAGCAGCTAGGAGAAAGCCCAGGAGGAGGGAGGAGGAGGCACCAGAGGAAGAGACGGGCTGGGCAAGCCACACAGGCATGCTTAAAGTGGGGAAGAGTGAGGCACAGTGGTGCACATCTGTATGCCCAGATACTCAGGAGGCTGAGGCAGGAGGATCACAAGTTCAAGGCCAGCCTGGGCAATTTAGGAAGATCCAGTCTCAAAAAGGGCCGGGAGCCTGGGTGTGGTGGCACATGCCTGTAATCCCAGTGACTCGGGAACTGAGTCAAGAGGATTGCAGGCCCTAAGCAACTTAGTGAAACCCTGTCTCAAATTTTAGAACAAAAAGAGCTGGGGATGTGGCTCAGTGGTAAAAGCACCCCTGGGCTCAATCCCTGGTACACACACACACACACACACACACACACACACAGCATTTCTACCCAGTACTGCTACAAAGGCAAACATACCAACTAAATGTTGTACAAACCTACAAACACATCCTTGCTGGGACACCGTGTTGTCATACTTTGCCACTAGAGGTCACCCAAGGTCACTGAGTAAATTTGGAACAGAGTACTCAGAATTCCTAGCCCAGTCTGCTGTCCACAGATGCCAGGTACCCTTCAGGGCCTGTAAGAGTCCTCCAGTTCCTTTCTTTCCTTGTTTCTCTTGGTGCTGTGGGTCAAACCCAGGGCCAGCCCCAGGTCCTTCCAGGTCTAAGATGCCAAGATGTCATCCCCTGGGACCAGCAGCCCCAGGTCCAGGAGCCCTCAAGAGCCTAAAGAGGGCTGAGGATGTGGCTCAAGCGGTAACGCGCTCGCCTGGCATGCGCGGGGCGCAGGGTTCGATCCTCAGCACCACATAAAAATAAAATAAAGATGTTGTGACCACCTCAAAATTAAAAAATAAATATTAAAAAATTCTTAAAAAAAAAAGAGAGAGAGAGCCTAAAGAAAGGCCAGGTGTGGTATTGCATGCCTGTAATCCCAGCAGCTCAGGAGGCTGAGGCAGTTCAGAGCCAGCCTCAGCAAAAGCAAGGCACTAAGCAACTGAGTGAGCCCGTCTCTAAATAAAATACAAAATAGGGCTGGGGATGTGGCTCAGTGGTTGAGCGCTCCTGAGTTCAATCCCCAGTAAAACACACACACACACACACACACACACACTGTAAATCAACCTGTCCAGGATCATGCTGTTAGAAAACAGCAGACCCAGATTCAAGCCCAGGTGAGGGAGACCCTGTACCAGCCTCGTCCTTTGCTCACTATGCGCAGCTGCAGGGAGGTCTGGGAGAGGAGGGCATCTGCAGAGGGTGAGGGCGAGGTCGAGGGCGAGGAAGGAAGAGCTGCTTCCTCCCAGGCTCTCCTTCCTGCCCAGCTTCCCCAGGACACTCAGGACAGGTCTGAGGCTTCCCTTTGGCGCCCTCCCTCGCAAGAACCCCTGGAGTTTACTTGGGCAAGAGCACCTGCGGCCAATCAGAAATTCTCAGTCTCAGTTCTCACACCCACCTGGATTGGTCCAGCATCCTCTCTCCTCCCCAGTGCCTTTCCCAGTCTCTCTTCAAACACTGTGGGTTCTAAGAGCAGAATACCACCCGAGCCCCCAGACTCGACCGTGGTTCCCGCTCTGGCCAAGAAGTCCTTAATTTCATTTTGGACTTTATGTGGCGCCCCGCCCCTATTGGGCATTGAACCCAGGGGCGCTTTAACCACTGAGCCATATCCTCAGCCCTTTTTTCTTTTTTTCACTTTATTTAGATACAGGGTCTTGCTGAGTTGCTTAGTGCCTCAGTAAATTGCTGAGGCTGGTTTTGAACTCACGATCCTCCCACCTCAGCCTCCCAAGCTTCTGGGATTACAGGTGTGCACCACTGCACCTGGCCATGATGGTCTTTCTTTAAAGCTGAAATATTTACATAGAGGAAACTGGATCCCTTTGAGGCGCACAGCTCCAGGAACTGCCAGGCCTCTGCAGGGCCTTGCTGCTGCTTCCACAGTGTCCCCATCCACCCTCCACAAGGCAGTTTCTGGGACCTGAAGGCGTATCCAACCAGGATGCTGCCCTGGCCAAAACCCTCGGAGCTCCCCTGCTCTTAGAACAAAGACCTAAGAAACAGAATATAAGTACTCCGCCTCTGAGCAAGAAAAGCAAAAAGTCAGATCCAAATCTGCCTGTAAAGAAGGTATCCACTTAAGTTAAAGGGACACTCTTAGGTTCAAGGTACCTGACCTGAAAGGATTTTGTTTATTCAGTGTAAAATGTGTCCATCTCTAATGATGAGAAGGCAAACTTAACCCAGAGAATGGAGAGTATAATTAACTGATAATAATAATGAGCTGTTGGTTGACTTAAATTTGATGTGTGATTAAGTCTGACCACTTGTGGTTACTGAATTTGCTTATCTTTATTATTGCTTTATCCATGTCCCAGAGTGGTGTAGGTATTTTTTAAAACAACATCTTTTTCCCACTTTCAAGTGCATAATGAAATTAGTTCTGGCCAATGTTCTTTTATAACCTTCTCCCCAGCCCCCCTCCCACTTTCACTGAGGACTGAACCCAGGGACACTTTACCACTGAGCCACATCCCCAGCCTTTTAAATTTTTTTAAAATATTTTTTTTAGCTATACATGGACACAATACCTTTATTTTGTTTATTTGTTTTTATGTGGTGCTCTGCCACTGAGCCACCACCCCAGCCCATCCTTTTTTATTTTTTGAGACAGGGTCTTGCTAAGTTGTTGAGGCTGGTCTCAAGCTTAAGACCCCCTCCTGTCTCAGCCCCCAAATTACAGGTGTGCACCATGGGGGGGCAGGCTTCCTTTGCCAGTTGATAAACACTTGGGTTGCTTATAGATTGAGGCAATCATGAATCCAGCTACTCCGAATACTTATGCACAAGTGTTTAACCAAGCCAGGTGGCACATGCCTATAGTCCCAGGTACTTGGGTGGCTGAGGCAGGAGGATTACTTCAGCCAAGATGTCAAGGCCAGCCTAGACAACATGATAAGACACCAACTCAAAAAAACAAAAACAAAATGTACATTTACAAGTGTGTGGCACATGCTTTATTTGCTACCAAAAATGACAGATTTCTCTGTGGTGCTTCCTGCTATTTCAGGCAAAAAAATGAGCATTCTATTGCTGTTGAGGTGACTAAGTACAGAGCCAGACTTTCCCATATGAAACTCTCAAAAGATTTATGAAACACTAATGAAATAATTGCAGGAAGTCATAAAATGTGACTAGCAAGATATTTTCTATAATTTTCTCTTACTAGTTGCCAAGCACTCAGCAAAGGATGGACCAAACATTTTCTCTCTCTCTCTCTTTTTTATTTTTGGTGGTGCTGGAGATTGAACCCAAGGCCTCCCGCATGCTAGGCAAGGGCTCTCCCACTGAGCTGAGCCCCAGCCCCATTCTGTCACTTCTCTCTCAGGAGAATGTTGTTATTCCCATTTCCCAGATGGGAAGCTGGGCTCAGGGAGGGAAGGGAACCCAAGGTGCGCCCACCTTGGGCTCACTGGAGTCCAGATGCACCTCAGGACAGGGGCTTGAGAAACCTGCTCCACCATGAACTGACTGAGCCCCTCCTTTGACATCTGTGAAGATGGCATCACTAATCTCTTCAAAGATTTGGTCCCAGTTGGGCAAGGTGGCAACACATGCCTGACTTGGGGGCTGAGGCAGAATTGCAAGTTTGAGGTCAGTCTCAGCAATTTTGTGAGACCCTAAGCAATTTTTTGAGCACTTGTCTCAAAATAAAAAATAAAAAGGGCTTGGAATGTAGCTCAGTGGTACAGTGCTCTGGGTTAAATCTGTAGTACCAATAAATAGATAGATAGATAGATAGACAGACAGACAGATAGATAGAAAGATAGATTAGCTGGGTGTGGTGGTGCAGGCCTGTAATCCCAGCAGCTCAGGAGGCTGAGGCAGGAGTATTG